GTAAACAGACAAAACTGCAGGTACAGGACAACTGAAAATTCTCCTTGGACACAAGTATATCACACACAGTATCGTCAAAAAATAAATGTTTGGGCAGGTATTGTCGAAAATCGAATTTTTCGAGCTTATTTTTTTGAAAAAAATTTAAATGGAGAACACGACTTAGACTTTCTTCAGTTTGAACGCATCCCTACTTTAGCTGTTGTATTTCTTAATCCACAAGATTCAGATATTCCTCATACTGACATATGGTTGCAACACCTCCTCATTTTACAATTGCAGTTCGACAATTTCTTGACTTAACTTTCCCTAATAAATAGATTGGACGCAGAGGTCCTATTGAGTAGCCACCAAGGTCACCTGATTTAACTCCTTTAGATTTTTACTTATGGAGTTATTTGAAATCTAAAGTTTATATGAATAGATCAAATAATCTTGATGACCTGAAAAATGTATTGAAGTAAACGGACAAAACATTGAACATTTATTATAAAGCAATTGTTATATAAATAATGTTTTATAGTTAAATATTATTTTTTTTCCATTTATCACATTCAAACGTCATTATTACGAAAACCGGTATGGTATGTTTATACAAAAAGTGCTTAGAATTTACCGTACAAATCAAAAAATGGCATAATATATAGGGTGTTCCATTAAAAAAAATCAGTGATGACTGCATATGTTTTTCTTGAGACACCCTGTATACAATTTCCTTAGGTAAAAAATTCGCAACTAAAAATACTAATCGAAGTGTCCGAGCGTTTTTCCACAAAATAATTACTTGAATTTTAAACGAATTTGTTCCTTTCATCATGAACGTACTGTAGAATGTGAGATTATTCACACAACAATAAAACAGAAAAAATCATTTCTGAGATTCAGACTACCAATTTTTTTGTATTTTTTCTTGTTTCTATGTGATTGTGTTCACGTAAACTTAAGCAATAAGTAGTTTTCAAAGTAAACCTCGTTACATCTGTTGAAAAAATATGATTATACCTGGTAGGATCAAAAAGTAGTAGAACTGAATTTCTGTAGCGCGGTGGAGGGTGGTCGGACCACGTGGGCGTGGTAATGGGGTGCCTTCCGAAGAGATTGATATTTTTTCCAGTCGCCTGCGGGCAAGCGGAGAGTAAGGACGTCGGTTTCCGTGAATCTCTGTTAAGAAGTGTCGTCGCGATCCAAGATGGAGAAAAATCTCGAGCAGCGCTACGCCATTAAATTCTGCTTCAAACTCGGGAAAACCGCGACGAAGACCCTAGGAATGATTTAAGGACACCTAGGGGGATGCTGCCATGAACCGCTCAACAATGTTCGAGTGGCATAAGCTGTTCCGGGAGGGGCGAGAGCTCGTCGAAGACGACCAGCGCGCCGGTCGCCCATCAACTTCAAGGATTGATGAAAATGTGGTCAAAGTGAAGGCGCTCCTGGACTCTGACCGGCGCACAAACATTCGTCTGATTGTTGATGAATTAGGGATTTAGTACGGTAGCGTCCAAAAAATTATTACCGAAGATTTGGCCATGCGAAAGATGTGCGCCAAGTTTGTGCCAAGAATCCTGAGCGATGAACAAAAAGTGAATCGTGTGCAAATTTCCCAGGAACTGTGTCCAAGAAAACCCAAATTTCCTTGACAATGTGATTGCCGGTGACGAAACGTGATGTTTCGAGTACGACCCGGAGACCAAACGCCAGAGCGCCGAGTGGCACACCAACAAGTCTCCGGGTCCGAAGAAAGTCAGAATGAGCAAGTCAAGGGTCAAATCCATGCTCATCTGCTTTTTTTACCGTCGCACAGTGGTCGGAATTCCGAAAAAGATGGACAAAAGTCGAAATTTCAAAGTCGTTGGTTTGCGTTAATACTTCAGAATATGCTAGAGAAGGAGTCATTGAGTAGTTCTTTAAAGTGACAGAGAGCTGGCCCATGTGTATAGACCACAGCAACTATCGGAAGTATGCTGCGACACATTAACATATTTCACTTGCCACTGACCCCTCGAAAGGCGGTGAATTGAAAATACGTGCAAATTTTTACTAGAGTGCGAATTGTTGTGTGCAATAGAGAGGGTGTTCCTGGAGTTAAGTAGAATACATTTGCGCATTTAGAACCTCATTTTTCGTAAGTTGCATGTTTTTATTGTTTTAACAAAAACCTCTTGCAATTTCCATCGATTTCAAATCACATCAATCGTAAATTATCGAAATAGTTGTGATCGCAAAAGATCCTGCACTATTGAAAGTTGGAAAATGCGGACAGGAGTGTCAATTTCATATATAAAAAGAGAAAACCACCGGATTTTTTCGGATTGGGGTTCTGAGTCATTTTTTGTGCCTGCATGTACGGCCGATTTACTATTGTAAGAGGCCTTAGTTATACAATAGCTAGCGTTTTAGTGTCTCTTCGTGTTCCAAACGAGCGTTTCTAATTCAAATGTTTTTTTTTATGAACATGCACCTTTTTCGTGTGCCATTTATCATATTTTTACAAGCTTTTATTTAACTTGCCTTGTTAGTATGGGTCATATTTTGCAACTGAATTTTAAAACAGTTTCCCCAACCGATTGAGCTGAAATTTTGCATACACGTTTAGTTTGGATGACAATGCATGGTTGCTAAATGACGTTTAAATCCAATATGGTGGACTCCCAAAGATGGCGGACCAGTTATTTCTTGTGCACCCCATGATGTGGGTATCAAATGAAAGGATTTGCTGAGAAGAATACGAAAATAAAATGAAGAAAATTATAGATGAACTTATTATATATGATCTTTTAATTCATAATTTATCATTTTCGACAGGATCAGGCACCAATAAAATTACGTGAATGAAAAAATAAATTTTTCGATTTTTGAAAAGAAAATTCCAAGAGAATTTAGAAACGCAAATCATCATTTTAGATCAACCTTTTTAAAAAGGTGCAAGATAGATGAAAATGGGAAAAGCTTTTCAACCGAAGCTATGGATAATATTTTCATGCTCTGACGGTTATGTGACAGGTGATGACGATGCGAATGACTCATGTGTATTAGAATTAGCTAAATAATTAGAATAAGCTTTATAACAAGAATAAGCTTCAATAGTATTTAGAAATTATTTCGTTCGAAATGACGAATTCATTCCAAATACATATCGCAGATATTTACCTTTACTTACTTTATTAATAATAATTAATTACCTCGAAAACCTCAAACTTCGATCTTACATACGTTTTACGCGACCTCAATACCAGAGGCACTCGAAATTTCAATTAGATTCAATAAATTAACGTGATATATCGGCCATTTTGTATCAGCCATCTTGAATTTGAGATTTTTGGCTGCAAATTCGGCTTTAGCGACCTGAAAAACATAAAGTCCCCACTTTTGGTGATGATGCAAGCCTTTTTGGACTTTTGTCCAGCTTTTTCGGATTTCCGACCACTGTGCGTCGTGGTGTGGTTCACAGGGAGTTTGTGCCCCCTAGACAAACTGTGAATGCCAGATTTTACGTGTACGTGCTTGACAGGTTGCACAAACGCGTCCTCCGCGTGCGACCAGACATCGCCAATTCTTGGAAGCTGCACCACGACTAGTGATGGGTCGTTATTCCAATAACGTTATTTTGGAACGTTATTTTATTGGAACGTTCCAGAACGTGACCAAATTCTCTTGTAACGCGTTACTGAGGAACGAACGTGCGACTGCGAAGTAGATAGAACATAGAACAAGCAAACAACTAACAAGTATGCAATGCGTTGTTTTGGCGTTGTACGGCTGTAACCGTCAGGTGTCGTATTTATTTTATAACCACAAAAAGAAACATAAACTGAAATTAAAACGTTTTACATTATGCAAGTATTGGAATGTAGAAAATAATAATAATGTAAGGCTATGTAGACATTAATTTTATTTATGAAGGTGAAAACTGCAGATTGCTATTTATACATATTGTATTAATACAATGAATATTATAAAAATGAACTTTATACTAAGGAAGCAAAAGAAAACAAAAAATATGAGTACAAATAGAAGTTCCAAATATTTTGGCAAAAAGAATATCGGTTGTCAACGCATCCAAATAATAAAACTTACATAGTTACTATTGTTACATTACACATCATAGCCCATTCAAATCAGCCACGATGTCGCAGAACGCACTCGGTGTCAAACTGTCAAATTTCCAGAAGTAACCTCGTTCCAAAATAACGTTATTTTAGAACGTTATTCTTTTGCAACTTCTTCCTCTTTCCTCGGCTCAAGCGGGACCTCAAGGGAAACCGATACAGCTCCGTAGAAGACGTCAAAGAAGGCGTACGCGCAGTGGGAATCGCGTTATACGCGTTGTGTCGGAGCACAAGGGTGCTATTTCGAGGACTACTAAAGATTTGTACCGATTAGTTCAATAAAAAAATTTAAATTAAATCAGTCCTACTACTATTTGATCCTACACCTCGTAAAATAGCATTTTGCACTGGGCTGTCTACATAACAGTGTCATTATAAGTTAGGCTTGTAATTATTTTCAACCAAATTTGAAATTACTGCAGGTATAATCATTTCAGGTATTATAAAAAAAAATAAAAAATATATGAAAAGCAATCTCTATGTGTCAAAAACAAGACAAGAACGTATCCATGTTGGTAGAAGCATATTGTCTAATTTTTGAATGAGAAATCTTCATACGAGATCACTTATGGATTAAACTAATAAAAAGAACTAGATGCAGATATAAAGTAATTTTATACATATTTTATTTAAGATCCAAAATTCTCTAGATAAATTTGAGGCACTTGTTAATGAAATTTAAAAATGTTTTGGTCCAAAACTATTTTTGGAGAAAAAATTAAAGAAATTTGAATTATAGTATCAAGAAAAGAATCACCGAAAAAAATATAAATTCAACTATATGTTCTACACATTTTAATTCTACTTTTAATAAGCCGATGTCCATCAATTTATTCGTTGTTGAAAATTGAAACCAATCAATTACTTAGAATAATTGTGTTACAGTAAACTTACCGAATCTTAGGGTTAAATTAACTTGATTGGGCCATTGGATTCCTTCTCTCATTGTTTCTGATTGCCACCAAGTAGGATTGTCGGAGTGAATAACATCTGTTAGATATCTGGCGTGGTGTTGATTTGGGTAACAAATTTCACAAGATTTCCTAATTCCAGTAACGCCAGTTTGAACACAATATTCTATGGGTCCGTTTTCCCCGCATGTATTAGTGGCCTCCATTAGAACGGTAAAGGCAGCATTTTCGAATTCAGGTATACACCTCTGAAATAAATTTAATTCGTTAGTATTTTTTGGTCATATAAAACCTTCAGAAATAGGAAATTTAATTTTTAAATTCTTCATTTTAATACAATTTTTATGTACATAAAATTTACCTACACCGGATGTAGAAGAAATAGTGTAACAAGCTTCGAAAGCTCGTCAAAATAAAAAAGTATACGAGGCATATCTACAAAGTACGAATCTTCAATTTAAAAAAAATCGAAACGGTAATACACTGTAAAAAAATTTCACTCAATATTACTCAATAATGTATCAATTTTCATCTATTAGTATGAGTACAACTGAGTGAAACTATTGCATCAGGAAGTTTTACTCAAATCCGAGTTACTGCTAAATATCAATTGATTGACTTTTGACTCTGTTCTGAGTAGATAAAACCAATTTAGAGTTGACTTTTTCTCTAGTATGATTTAAATTTAACTTTTTACTCTGACTTGGATTTTAATTAACTAAATATTGAGTGCAAAAATAAATCACTCATAAATAATTAATTAGGATATACAGTGTTGAAATTAATTAGACGCTATTCAGCATGTTCTGCAAATGATGAACTTGGTTTGGAGTGGTTTTGCACCACTTTATATTTTCTTGAAATTTTAATTTAAATATTATTGTCATAAACTACTAAACATTCATGGTGGTTTCAACACAGAGTTGTTTTAGAGACAATAATTTAGGTCTCGATTGGTTCAATGGTCGGATAAATAAATTGCCATAACCTGTATTGTACGTTACAAATACATAATTATAAATAACAATTTAACTATCCGTATATTTAACCAAATTTTAATTGAGACTTAATATATTGTCTTTAATTGTAATTAAATCACTGCATTTAAATACAATTTTCACTATAATAACCAGATAAACCGATACTTGTCCAACTCCAAAGCACACCGTATGCCATACTGCCATCCACAACGCCACGGTCACAAGATCGCCTAATGGGACGATGGGAACAGACAAAGACAATGCATCTAGATATGAAAAAGGGTGGGATCACTCAGTAATGAGGACATTTACTCTGATTTAGGTACAAGTGCACCAAATACGAGTTTACGTGAAGAATTTATTTATATATTTGAGTGAAAGTACTCAGTTTTAGTGTAAATACAATCACAAATGAGTAAAATTATCAAAATGACCAATAATGAGTGAAAATGTAGCTACTCAATAATTTCACTCAATGGATTCACTCCAAACCTTTATTGCTTTCACTCACACCCATTTTTTTACAGTGTATATTTATGAAAAATTTACATATTCAGAAAGATACATCAGACATCTTCAACCTGAATGCACTTTGTAAGCCGCGCGATGAGCTTTGTGAGACCTGCGTCCTCATTGTGGATAGAAAACCTTTTTGCACCTATAAACACCTTCAAAGAAGAGTAAAGATGAATATCAGAAGGGTCTAGGTCAGGGCTGTGAGCGGGGTGGTTGATGAAGTTCGAACCAAATGAATCCAGTAGTTGCTTTATGGCGTTGGCTGTGTGGGGACGTGCATTGTTCCCCCCTGGGTAAAATGTCAATGAGGAGAATCCCTTTATACGAACCCGAAACACAAATGCAATATTTTTCTCCTTTGTTCATGATGAACATTCGTTCTGCCAGCTTTATACTCACGACACCATTATATAATCCTTTTTATTGCAGTCTTCTTAGAGTCTGCATTAGGCATATAAAATTATTTTCAGAATAAATTGTGCATCCAAGATTTTGTGAAAAAAAAAAAAAATAAGTGTATCAAGAGTAGTGACTATAAATTAGATAAAGAGTGCGCTATTAATTTTTATATCTAAGCAAACTTGTATCAAAAAATTAAGAATAATTTTTAATAATAATAAACATTTTTATATATTAACATATATGTATAAAAACATAATTATTCCTTAATTTTTGAAAAATATATTTTATAAGTTTATTATAAGTGCACGGTTTCAATAATTCAATGTGCAGCCAACTTAAATTTCTAGTCAAACTTACTTTTGTGTGAGATAGCATGTTTTTACTTAAAGATCTGAGCTAGCATGTTTTCCAAGCTTAATTTGAGGTAGCATGTTTTCCAAGTACAATTTTAGATAGCATGTTTTCGTAGTAGCGCGTCGATTTATATATTTGGTAGTATAAAATACAAGGCTATGGTTTTTCATATTGTTTTGCACTAACATGCAAGATGCGTTCTTTGATATTAAGCTTGGAATTAACCCCTTAGTAGAGGTAGGTGTGGATTTAATTTGCATATATTTCTTATCCTCTCTACTTCACCCTATTTTAGGGGATATTTTATGCTTAAATCTAATTACAAAAGATTCTCAAAGTGGCGAACATTGTTTTCAATACATTTTTTTATTCTTTCGTTAAAATTTTGTCTGACACTGAATATACTTCTTTGTTGGTCTCTGATAATGTTAACAGATTCTTGTATTTTTGCCCACAGCTCTTCTCGAGTATATGTAACATCTTTATAAACTAAAGATTTAACGTTACCCCAGAAATAAAAATCTAGGGGATTTAAATCAGGGCTACGCGCAGGCCAAGGCACTTCGCTGCCGCGACCAATCCGATGGTTTCGAAAACTTATGTCAAGATGTTCTCTTACTGGCCGGGAGTAATGTGCGGGAGCACCATCATGCATAAACCAAAAGGTTTGCCATAAATTTAAATAATTTTCCCCATTAAGTGGACGCGATAACACAAATGGTCCCAAAATGTTATCGGAAAGTATTCCACACCAAATATTTATTGAGAATTCATGCTGAAAATGTTGTTCTCGTGGCAAGTGAGGATTTTCCAGTTCCCAGGAATGGCTATTTCTAAAATTAAATACACCGCGCCGGGTAAATGTAGCTTCGTCCGTAAACAATATTTTATTATAAAATGTAGGGTCAGCATTTTGTTGCCGACGAAGAAACTGTGCGAACCGAAATCTACCAGGAGGATCTTGTAGCATCAACCGTTGAACCGGACGAAAATGGTAAGGATACAATTTTTCTTTATGGAGTATTCTGAAGACGGAAGGCTAACTTACACCAGTAGCTGATGAAATTCGGCGTGTGCTTGTGTGTGTGTTTTCGGCAATTCGCACTAAAATATCCTCTTCTTACTCCGCTACTAATACTTTAGGCCTTCCAACGTCTCGTTTAGGGTGAAATGATCCCCTTTCTCCTAATCTGTCGTACAACGTCTTGAAAAGCTTGTGGTTAGGTTGTCTGTTATTTGGATATAACTCCAAGTACCTCGCTGCTGCATGACGACCACAATAATTTTCTTGGGCATACACACATACCATGTTTCTCATTTCAACAAACGAATAATCATTATGACGCGGCATTTTAATGAAAAAAATCACAAACGAAGAAGAACTAAACTGTCTAGTATTTATAAGTTGCTTAGAATTGACATAAATAATACATGACATTTCATTGACAGCGGCCTACTTCATTTAAGTCATCTTATTTAAAGGCGTACGTTCAAACAAATAATTTTGTAAAGAAATAGTAAATCGTTCTTATTTCGAAAACGGTTAAGTTTATCGATTTTTAACAGGTATATCTTTTTTATTTAGAATTGAACGTAGCTTAATAATTTCTCATTGGAAATTCAGATTTTTGAAGGACAAAAAAGTTTGACATATGTTTACTCAGACGGAACACTACAACTAGCGCATCCTAGATGTGATTGCAAAATAGTTACCTTTTCCGTAATTACCACCTCAGAAAACGTAGGTGTACAAACTTTCAAGACAATCCGTTCAAAGATGCTCAAGATATTTAAAAAAATCGAAAATATTTTTAAATTTTAACACCCTGTAGATCGAAAAGGAGCAACATTCGGATAAGGCATATTTGGCTTAATTGCTCTATTTTGAGGTCAGCAACATGACCTTAAGCTCTGTCCCATTATTAATTAATCACCCTGTATATTCTTCATCTAAATCGTCGCATTTTCTTCATTTTTTGTCCCTACACTTTTTTCGTATCGTTTAGTGACAAAATTGATTTTTTAACAAATATATTTTTTTGATTTTATTGTACTTAATCTTTTAATTTCTTCCTCAGAGAACATGCTACGTACGTCCCAAAAAAGAAAAATTGCTGGCAGTATTAAAACTGCAAGAATTTTTCGATCAATTTTATAAGATTTTCCAAAAATTAACCTCTAAAAAAGTTGTGGCACCCACATTATAATTTGTAATTTCCAGAGTTATAATTTCCAAATAAAATCGTTTTGGGACCTAGATTTAAGAAGTATAATGTTACCTAGGTATGCTATGAATAACGAGTTAAAATATAATTATTTTTTGTTTGTTATTTGGACAAATACTGTATGTACATAGTTTCATAGCCTTCAGCTTTTTCAAAAAGTAAAAGTTAAGTTCAATTTAACTATTATCATGGCCACTAACACAAATACCGAAATAGCTAATATAGTTCATGTTGATGGCTTTGCCGACGGAAATTGTGCTGAATGATAATCCTAATCATCTGATTCCGAATCCAAAAACATTCAAAAACATTTGTCAGCGAATGAAGAGAATGCAATGGAGCATATGAAGACATATTCAAAATGGGTCTAATGTTTAGTGTTTCGTTCGTGCTTATTTGTGACTCAAAAATCAACATAGCAAACACCAAACCTTGTGATATTTAAATTTGGTGTCTTTTCATTACCATTCTGGTTCACTGTTTCGTCAATCTCTTCTAGAATGTTGAGGCTCGTAAATCACACAAAAATTGTTAAAATTAGAAATGTTCACTAAGGTACACAAATAACATGTTAATATAAGCCATATTGGACGGTCTGTATATGAATACAATGCCTGCTACGGAACTTAGAAGCTATATTTGGTAGCTGGGAACTGTCTACTAGCATATTATTTACAGTACGGGACGTATCGTGAGCGACCATGAAGTTGGATCTTTTGCGATGACCTGGAACTGTTGCCTTGATTTGTCGAAATTTGAAATTATAGCGAT